AGCTGGAACAGGGGCAACAAAAGACTGAGAAAGTCAAGGAATGCAACACCTGTTTGCAGCATTCCACAGGTGAACAGATTCACTGGAAACAGGTGAATGTCATGACGCTCCCTTTATACGCAATCATGACATTCACCCGTTTCCGAGGTTCACCACTTTGTGACCAACTGCGTGAGCAAATAGTCCAAYGGTTTAAAAACATTTCTCAACATACAATTTCAAGGAATTTAGGGGTAAACATTAAATTTCTTGTTTTTGTAGTGTATTCAATTGAATACAATTTGAAAAGGATTTGCAAATCATATTCTGTTTTACATGTCCCAACTTCATTGGAATTGGGGCTGTACAACTGTCACTGGAGAACGACCACTCTAACCACTGATCAAGTGTTCTTGGGTTAATCCAGTGGGTTGGAGACAGTCACGACAAAATCGAGAAAGGTTTGAGACATCTTAGAAGACTGATTATTGTACCACTAATTCCTTTCTATAAACATAAAAAAATCAAGAGATCAAGCATTACCCACAGTTGGGATACTACTTTTAGTCTCAGTACAGAGTGGTTATAAGGAMCAGGGACCTCATGCATAAAGGATTGCGCAGCTTTCACACTAAAAGTTGACGTACGGACAAATTTAGAAATGTGCGCCGCACCAAAATATTCAGATGTATAAAATCATGCGTACGCATGTTCCTGCGCACCTTTCYTTTATACATCCCAATGAACGTGGAACTTAGCGCACGTTAGACACCTCCCCTGACACGCCTCCATTTAAATCTGTAAAATAGATGTAAATGTGTCCAGCATGTGAGAGTCTCCTCCGATTGTCCTCTCTGTGGGATCAGAAATGATTTTTAGATGCAGGGAMATCTAAAAATCRTTTCCCATTTCCTTCCCATTAAACGGAGAACGAAAACTGTCTAAATAAGGAGTGGGGTGACATTGTTTTATGTGGCGCATTCGCACGGGACAACCAAAGCCTGAGATTTTCCTGAAATTTACAGACATCTCTCGAGTGTGATATTGAAGTCTGGTTAGTTGTTGTCTGTTTAGTTGAACACGGCGTTGAACGGACGTTTAAAAAAATAAATAAAAATGAAATAAAAAAAAAACAATAAACATTACGTTATCCACTTTTTGTGCTGTACTTTCCTCCTGCGTTACAACAGGTGCTGTCATCTCCACGTACCCCCACCCCGGCCTACGGATTTTCAACAAAAAATATAGATTTTTGAGGCTCATTAGACAGATAAATGTCCAAAGAGGTTGACATATATGAACACCTTCCCAGCTGGCGAGGATGCACGCGCCTGGCGCAAGAATCTACCCAAAGCACGAGCCTGCTGCGCTACGGCCACAACTCAACTCAGGATCAGCCATTAGACAACAAACAGAAAAAATAATTATTCTTACCGTACAGTGAGCCACCATTTTCATCCGATTTTGCTCCCTCGCTTCATCCTTTTTTATTACTTTTTTTTTTAATGCCGCATGTAATGTGTCGGGTTTTTCCGGCCCGGGACCCAAAAGGTTTTCAATTATGTGACAAAAATATAAAAACACTTTACAGACTGGACTGAGGTTCTTTGATCATTTTTAGACTGATCTATTTTCTTGTCTGAGGTTAAATGATTTTCAGTCCCGGGGTTCAGTTTCATGATCGTTCGAGTTTAAATAATAAAAACTCAAACTAAAAAAAAATCTGACACCGTGTTCAGACGCTCCTTACATCCAGAAAACACAACAAAGTCATATTTCTGTGGATGCAGGTTAGATTCGTGACYTTGTGAGTTAAAACTGTCGGCTGAAAAACTTTGCGTGGCTGCCGCACATTCTCACGGCAGGTGAAAACGCAACGTTGGTTTTGATACATCCCAACGTGGGCGTAGAACCTGGCGCACGCAACTTTTTTGTGTGTATGCACCGTTTATACATGAGGTCCAGAACACTCAGCTCTACAATCAGAAGCAGTTATGGGAGCCTATAGGTTGTGCTGCATGTACAAAAAAAGACAACATCCTAGTAGAAAAGAAAAAACAAGTAGCTTCTTCTTGGGCAATGCTAATGCAGTATTAACAGTGCAGGTGCTGGAAGAGAATTCAGCTTGCTTGGCCAATCAACAGACCCATGTAATGACCAGTCACATCACTTTATGTTACTCAAGAGTCCCTAATGAGCTAAGTTAGCACAGACTCAAAAACAGGAGCAAAAAATAACCCCCCCCTAGATAAAGATACAGTAGTTATAAGGTGAATGGCCAAAGGGAAAAAAAACAAAAGGAAACAAATTCAAATGTTATTAGGAACTGTGAAGTGTTTGGTTCAGAACCACACAGAGTCCCTATCTTTACCCATGTACTGGTATGTAATATTGACTAATTTGGTTGAATTTTAAACTCAGAAMGCTACCAAATATAATCCAAAAGCAGAATATTATATTAGTTTAAAATTGTCTCCAAACAATATTATCGTTTATCACAATTTCAAAATTTGCTACCCACTAGAGCTAAGAGTGTGTGTTGGGGATGACTMAGCTAATACCACAATAGCTCAATATCTATAAAAATGACTTTTTAGTTACAGTAACTTGTTTAGCTGTAGTGACTATCTTGAATGAGGTTAACTCCACAAGTTAATCAGTCAGTCCCAGGTCAGCACTAGTGATATATACTGTATTTCACATATATGATCTTTTAACTCCCAGGTACAGCACAAACCGTAAAAGTCAATTATCTTAAAGTAGCACAGCAAAGAAGAGAGCTATATTTAGGACAGTAAAAGTCAAATAAAAGTCAGTGTAAACAGCCTTACTTCTCATGTTAATGGCTACCTACTGAAACAAAGGAATAGCGWGGAGCTGCCAATTATCCTGCCACCCACAGTTCTTAGACTTGGGCAAAGACAAATCTAGAGGAGTTCACTTAGCASAAGCAGCCAGTAATGTACTTGCTGGGGATAGTACTCGAGAGCTGAGGCTCAAATACTAGCCCCAGAAACAAACTGATCAAAGACCCTGATGAAGAAACTGACAGGCTAAAGGACCGCCGGGTTGTCTTTTTTTYYYTTCCCCTTTCTTTTTTCTTTTCTCATTGACATTTGAACTGCTACACTGCCACAAGAGAACAGAGGATTTCCAGGCTGGAGGAATGACGGAGAACGACAGAGACCTAATGAGGAAGAAAAGGGTGGAGGTGGAAAATAAATGGCTGCAGCATTAAGTTCATGTGGGCTGGGGAGTGTGGGGGGCTCAAAAGCTGTGTGAGTGATGAGGAAAAGCAGTGCGAGTAAAAGATGGACATCAGAAATAAACTGACAGTTGAGAGTTAAGCTAATGGCTGCTGAGCTTTTTTTTAAATATTAATTTCTTCTCATTTTGGAGACTTTGTCAACTGTAATTCTGTAATTTTTCTGCAAAGACTCCTCCAAYTCACAGATTTAGCTTATTTTTTTTTACTCTTTAGGGATATTATAAAGTTTAAGATTTGCATTTTTTGGAAAATGCCTTGGAGTTAAAAGTTGATGTATTCGTGGAACCCTGACCTTGAGTCCTGACTTTCACTGCTCCCCTGAACTTTTAATAACAACAACTTGACTGTTAAACTCTGTAAAATGTCTTAGTATTTAAGTATGKTTTTTAATGGTCTCAAAATGGCATCTTCTTTTCTTTTTGATTTCAAAATGATCTTCTTTTGTAAAGTAGTTTTGTGTTCTTGTTGATCACTTAAAATGCCATCAACAACGAGCCTTGTTCACCCATTTACACACAGATTCATACAAATACATRTCTCTAAGTACACTGTTTGCAAGTGTTGCCATTTGATTTGTAAAATGTATCACAGCTTCTCAACCAGAAACCTTATAAGCAAGAGCCAAWTCATCATTAATATATATTTAAAAATGCTGAATTCCCTCTCAGTCTTGGTTTTAACMCYTTAGCAGTWGGCCCTAAAATTCCTTTAAAGGGATCCCCGATCAGTTGTAACATTAGACTTTATTTGATRAACATTTATTTTAACTGTAAAATAAAGACTGTAAAAATACTGTAGGATGTTTAGTTTTGTAAATTTTTAAAAATATATTTTAACATGGACGGAGCCATTGTTTTTACACACAAAGCATTCTGGGTAAATGATGACGTGGATAGGTCCTTGGTGYGAGGCTGCTAGCGAGCTATATCCACCCTGAAGGTTAATCTTGGACAATATCTGATGATCGRCTCTTTTAAATGAAACCAGAGAGCGTTGACAGAGAGGAGAAGGTAGAAATGACTCAGYCTGTAACTGAAAATATGGATGGAGGACAACAGAGCTGCTTCATGGAAGAAGAACCTCAGCTTAGCCTGTTAGCTTTAGCATTAGCTCCGATGCTATATTGCCTTATATGTATTAGCTCAGCGCTAGCGCGACCAACAAGCTAAACTGAGGTCCTCCATCCATATTTTCAGTTGCAGGCTGTCATTTTTGCATTCCTCTGTCATGTGGATGGAGGACCTCAGTGACGAGAGGAGAATGTGTAGCGCTGAGCTAATACATGTWTATGGTGATAGCGTCAGGGCTAACGCTAAAGCTAACAGG